TCCTATAGCAGCAAATACAGACTTGGTGGAGGATCTGATAGACTTGTTTCCTATAGGCGATACTTTTGTCTCTGGTACAAATTAGAGTCAGGCATTTGGAATGGGATCTGATAATGGTGATAAGTTGCCTGTTCACAACTTTGTAATGAACCTTGGATTGATGAATCTAATAATATGTGGTCAATCTAAGAAACAAGGAACAAAATTTATATGCATGAGTTTTAGTTTCTTTTCGGACTCCCTTGCTCTTCCCTCCCCCCATTCTGACTCTTGCAGTTTTTATAATCCTTTTAGTTTTATTCTCTAATTGATTTAACTGTCTAGGTATTATTTTTCTTCTATTAAAAAAGGCTTTGTAGTTCATTCTCTGACTTGCTTATCAGAAAAGAAAATTTACCACTTTTGGAACTTGAGTCCTTTATACATGTAAAGGATGTGCTTATAAAACTTGCCATATCAGTATATAAATTTATAACATAAGTATGTAGATACAGCAAATACTATGGGTAATGGTAAATTCATTTTAACTTTTTTATTTGTATTTGTATTTTTTTTTTTTTTTTTTTTTTTTTTTTTTTTTTTTTCATAACAAGGTTTCTTTGTTGCACTGGCTGTCCTGGAACTCTGTAGGTCAAGCTGGCCTGGAACTCACAGATCTGCCTGCCTCTGGCTCCTGAGTGTTGGGGTTAAAGGCATGCACCACCGCGCCCAGCTATTTTTAGTTTTTTGAGGGTTCTCCACACTTACTTCCAAAGTGCTTGGACCCGTTTGCAATCTCAACAACAGTGAATGAGTGAGGGTTCCCTTTCCCCATGGCCCTTCTAGCATTTGTTATGCATTGTATCACCATTCTGACTGGGATAAGACGATACCAAAGTTGTTTTGATTTGCATTTCTTGATTATCATTTTGAGACCATCTTCCTGCTCTGACTTCCAGCAACTGTCAACTTTCGATCATTCTGGGAACTTGTCCTAGTCTGGGTTTTTTTGTTTGTTTGTTTGTTTTGTTTTGTTTTTTCTTTCTTTTGTGTCTTACGGTTACCCTAGTTGGCTTGAAACTCTGTGTACACCAGGCTGGCCTTGGACTCATAGTGATCCACTAGCCTCTGTGTTTGTCTCCACTGGCTGCAAACAGTTGAACACCTCCCACCGGAGTCTCCTGAATGGTGGGTCTGTGTGTGCCACCTTGCCTCAGCTTTCTCTTTTTACCCTCCATGTGGACAGACACTTTCATTTTCCCTTACAGTGATACTCTAGACAGGGAGAGCCTTGTGGCTTAAGAGCATTTTACTTTAAAGCTTTAAAGCATTAATTTGTATCTTTTGGCTTCCACTGTTGCTATTAGAAAGTCCAAACATTTTGATCCCCAACTTAATATTTCTTCCTCTTGGAATATTAACTTTTATATCTGGATATTCTGAAATTCAAATCCCCCCTGCCCTGTGTGTGTGTGTGTGTGTGTGTGTGTGTGTGTGTGTAATTTTTGGTCCAGGTCAAATTTTGTTTAATGATTTTCTTTTTTGTGTTTTTTTTCTTTTTCTTTCTTTCTTTCTTTTTTTCATGGACTTTGCTGAAATGATCACATACTTGAGTTCTCTAGGTCTAGGCTTTTATTATTTTTTTATTTTTATTTATTTCTCTTTTAGTGTTCGTATGTTATAGTTTTGGCTTATTTCCCATTTTTTTTAATCCCTCTTTGGTGATCTGTGGATGCCTTATTTTAAGGATGGCCTAAGTGGAAGATACATATGAGTGGTGCCTGGCGGCTATTAACATTTCTTGTAGATAGGCTGAGCAAGTAATTCTCTTTTAATTATATAATTTTGCTTATTCTTAGGTGTGCACTGTTTCTCAGTTTGAGCTTTCTAATTACCTGTTTCAAGAAGGTGGCTAGGGAGTATCATTTTTACTTTGTTTACTTGGTTTTTGTTTGCTGCTTTACCTACCATTTTGAAGACTACAGCTTTGCTGGATTATTCATTGAAAAAAAATTCTAAAATGGAGCATTTAGTGTCTTACTAGGTTAGTGACATGTTCTGATTGTCCCTATAGTTTTTCTTCCCGTATGGAACAACACTATTTTATTGTGTCTTTTATGTATAAATGTTGAGAAGAATCTTGGAATTTTATGAATTGGTAGGTGACATACATTCTTATATCTTTAGGTATGTCAAGTACCATATCATAGGTATCAGGTAATCACATGGTAGCTTGTACCTTTTTATGAGTTAGGTTGTGAATAAATGTAAGGATCTGAGCGATTTAATTGAATCTTTGGAATAATATTTTGTTGTTTTAGAATAGTGGTGATAAAAAATTTGTTGCTATTAAGGTAAACAGTATATTCATCAGAAAATTTGAAACATGCACAATGAAAGTGTTTGAGTGTGGTTTTATATTTTAAATTAACTTAATTATTTGTTACCTATAGTAGAACTTAAAACCTACTTAAACTCTTAGAAATAACTTTGCAAATGAAATGACTAATTTGATAGCTGATTGTTTGAAGTAGTAGGTAATACTTATTGAAGAGTTCTATATCTTTAAGGTATAATAATACAGTTTTTTTTTAAATTTTTTTTTATTATAGGTAGAAGAATACATGTTCACCTTTAGTGAACAAGAGCATGTTCCCAAACTCAATTTTGGGCCGTCCACCCTTCACTCCAAACCACCAACAACATAATAATTTTTTTGCTCTCTCACCAACTCTTTATTCACACCAGCAACTTATAGATGCACAATTCAACTTTCAAAATGTAGAGTAAGTATAATGCTATATTGGACACTGTGTCATTAAGTTCTGTTTTCTCTTTAACATTTTTGTGTGCAGTATTTGAAAAGAGAGAAAATATTATTAGTCCTTTTTTGGCTACTAAAATATTAGTTTGTATGGCATTTTTAGTTCTAAGGAAAAATCATTATGTTATTGCTCTTTGTTTTTGGTAGCTTATCTAGAGCTGTGTCCTTACAGCCCCTGACGTATGGAACCATCAGCCCAATACAGACCTCAACATCCCCATTATTTCGAGGAAGGAAGTAAGTATTTCTCGAGTGTTTTAAAATAAATGTTAGTCTTAAGAACTATGTAACAGTTACATAGAATTACATGGACAGTGTGACCTCTTCTCTTTATACAAAAGCTGAAGGATGCAGACATTAGTTATTAAAGCAGAGATGCAATACCTGATACTTGAAATCCGGCTCTCTGGTTCTAGAATCAAGGCATATGATAAACATTACAAGTTTTTCTGAATTGTCATTCGAAAAGTTATATAATGATTCTGAGAGTATTGACTTCATTAGTTGTATTTGTGTAATTTTTTGAAATTGCCTTAGTAGCCAGTGGTAACTCATGAGTAAAGATGAATTCCATTAGTTCATAGTTACAGATATTTTTAAAAATTAAAATTGGCCTTTCTAATTGAGGATAGTGGATATGCTGTAATTACTTTCAGGATTAAAAATAACAAATGTACTTTTATGTGTCTAGCCCTTTAGATTAGCCCTACTAATCTCAGAGGAGTAGTGAAGTAAAACCTTTAGGATTTTAGAGCTAGAAAGGAATTGGATCATTTTCTGTGACATAAGATATTTCATGTTAACAGCTTAGTAAATATCATTTTCCCTGTCAAATTATTTATTTCCTTCTTACCTGGTACTGGGATTTGAACCCAGGGCTTCATAGAGGCTTGGCAGGTTCTCTGTTTTAACCTAATTATTTTCTTGTTAATTTGAAAATTTTCAAATTTTCTGAAAAATGTAAAAAATAGTATGTTGAACATTTGTGTACCTTTTTCCTAGATATATTAGTTGCAGAGTTTAGCTGTTTTTGTCTCTCTTCTCATTCTCACACTTTCCCCCCTGAATTATATTAAAGGAAATTGTTGACATTACTTTATACCAAAACATCTTAGCCTTTTTCCTTATAAAAATAGACATTCTACTGTGTAACCAAAATACTTTTAATTTTGCCCAAGACATTGTTACTGCATATTATCTGCAATGCAGCTTGTTGTCTGACACTCTTTATAACTTTTATAAAATTGTCAGTTTGATTTTTTTTTTCCCACTGATGAGCCAGAACATAGGAATATTCACAGGATCTTTTAAAAAGATATATGTATATATAATCACTCAATTTACTTCCTTTTGTTACAGTTTATCTTTGATTCTTAGTGATTGTGTGCTTCTATAAGTAGTCATTTTTCTATAATGTGTTCAATGTGGTAATGACTCAGTTGGTAGTTCAAATATATACCATTAATTACTTTTATTTTTGTACGGTATTGGAAGACATTTCTTGTGCTAAAGTTAATATTAAAAGTCCACTAGAGAGTTAATAATGAAACCTTATCCAAAGAGTCACAGTGTTGTTACTATCTGTTTTGATATTTGTATGTGTCTGTCATCAGAAAGTTGTGTCTTCAGTCATTAAGGTATATTTGCTTGTTTTCAGGAGAATAAGCGATGAAAAAAACTTTCCTCTTGATGGTAAACGGCAGCGTTTCCATTCACCCCACCAAGAGCCAACTATAATTAACCAGATAGTGCCTTTATCAGGTGACAGAAGATATTCCATGCCACCATTGTTTCACACACACTATGTACCAGATATAATCAGATGTGTCCCACCTCTTCGAGAAATTCCATTGTTAGAACCTAGAGAAATCACACTGCCTGAGGCTAAAGATAAGGTAATTATAATGCAGGTGTTCATTTTGCCTTTTGAAATTTCATATGAAGAATATATTAAAAGCATCAGGAATATCTAATTTTCTACATTTTTCTAAGTATCACTTTGATTTTTTTTTTTTTTTCTGTCGTAAGTACACCTTTCAGGATCATTTTTTTTCTGATTTATAAAATTTGGGATTAGAGCCTAAAACATTTGATTTCACTACTGCTCAGCAACAACTTGTTCTTTTTTAAGTGAATGAGTGAATGAAATGTTGGTGGTGTGGTTTTTGAGACGGGGTCTCTATGTAGCACTGGCTATCCTGGAACTCAATCTGTAGACCAAGCTGGTTCAGAGCTCACAGAGATCTGCCTGCCTCTATCTCCAAGTGCTTGGGTAAAAGGTGTGTACCACTACACCTAGTTCAACTTTTTCTTACTGCAGAAAAACATGGATATTGATACGGTAATTGTAATAAAATGTTCAAAAGCAGTATCTTTTTTTCTGTTCCTCTGAGGAAATAAAACTTAAATGGTGTGATCAAGAAATATTTATCAAAAAGATCAGTAAAAATTATTTTAGTTAAATGAAAGCATTTGCTCCTTCTTGGAAAATGACATTAGCATTGGAACAACGAGTTAATAACTAATAGTGGAATATTGCTCTCCCCAGCTATAGTTTGTGAAAACTTAAGAAAAACATGTAGTCATTTGGGAAAGATATATAATGTTTGTCATTTTTCTTGTTCTTTTAGTGATTCTGTGATTCACTCTCTATTCTCCCTCTCCCTTACTCTCTTCACAGGGTCTTTCTGTATAGTTCAAGATGCCTTAGACTGAAATTCACCCTTTTCTAATGTACAAACCAGTAGATTTTACTAAGTTCATTAAGTTGTGCACTTACCTGTTTCCAAAACATACTCTCCACTCCCTTGAAAGCTTGTACCCCAACAGTTTCACTTTCCTTCCCACTTCCTGTTAGTAAAAGCATTTGATGTGTGGCCATTTGTGCTTAGTTTCTTTCTTTTGCATAATGTGTTTAGGGTTTATTCATGTTTATTTGTATGGTTTTGATTTTTTTTGAGACTACTTCCCATATAGTTTAGACTGGCCTTAAACACACTATCCTCCTGCTTCAGCTTACTGAGTGTTGGAATTGCATTTTTTTCGTCTGAGTAATATTTTATTATGTAGGTATATACTGTATTTTGCTAATGTATTCCTCAGGTGATAGACATTTAGGTTTCTTATTCTGGTTATGAATAACACTGTAAATGTCTTGTATACAAAATTTTGCATGGGTGTATGTTTCTGCTCTCTTGATACATACACAGGAGTGAAATTATTGGGTAATTCGGTAAAGTATGTTCCACCTTTGAGGATCTGCCAACTTGTTCTCTAAAATGGATTATACATGTATACAGATGCTTCACTTTGTTTACATCCCTGTGCTATTTATTTGTTATTCTCTCTTTCAGTCTCTCATTCTCTCTCTTAGTTTCTTGTATTACTAGAGATGGAACCCAGAGCTTTCAGCATGCTAGGCAAACACTGACTCACCATCAAGGTTTATCTGTAACTTGTCTCTTTTTATTGGAGCCCTTCTGGTATAAGAATCATTTCAGTTTCCATTTTCTAATATCTAATGATGCTAAGCATATTATCATTTGCTTGTTGGACATCTGTATGTTCCTTGGAGAGGTCTCCATTCAGATTCTTTGTGCACATTTTAATAGGTTGTCTTTATTACTGAATTATAAGAGTTATTTTTATATATTCTGAGTATTAGCCCTTAAGATGATTTGCAAATGTTTTGTCCTTTCTGTGATTTCTATTTTTTATCAGTGCCTTCTAAAGCCCAGGGAGTTTTTCATTTTTTCCTGTAGTTTAATTTATTAGGTTTTTTTTTTTTGGGGGGGGGGCTTGCTGTGCCATCTTTCAGTGCAGTAGCTTGAATATTGATGCTTTTGTGGTATAAGTTCACTTATTCACTTGTTTGTCTATCTGTCTGTCTGTCTACTCAAAGGCAGGGTCTCATTGTATAGCTCGTAAGCCTGAAAGTTGATATATAGAGCAGGCTGTTCTTGAACTCACATAATCCTCCTGAGTGCTGGAATGTACTATAAGAATTTTCTACTTTTAGTTCTTAATTTAGGACTTTGGTCCATTTGTAATTATTCATTTTTATGGTAGAATGTAGGCTACAACTGTATTCTCCCAGTGATGGTTCATTTGTCCCCAAAAGACATGTTGTTAGAAACAAAAAAGAAAATCCTAACTGTTGTATTTTACAAGTAAAGGTTCAGAAGCCAGATGCTAGCTCAGAGGCAGGGAAAGCACCCAGCTGACCTTCCTCTTCAGCTCAGGTCAGGATGGAAAAAACCCAAAAGGCTCACTACTTCAACTGACAGCCCAGGAGGAAAAGGCCAAAAAACCTGAGGCGGAAGGCTTGCTAGCTCAAAGCCAAAAAAGCTAGGGAGCTGAGGAGCTGAAGCCTAAGCTAAAGCCAGAGCTTAAGCTAAAAAGCATTTTCTGCTTTTCTGTGCTGTCTTAAATACCCCTCAACTCAAAGTGCTTCCTGCTCTTTTATCCTTGTCAGCTGGTTTCTTGCTCCACTTCTTGACCTAGGGTTAACTTTATTAAATCCTGCATACAAAAAACTCTTGGATTAAAGTTGTGTGCTAAAGCTGGCTGAACCACACCAATAAACTGAAAGTTCTTAGATTAAAGATGTATTATGATATGCTCAACCACACCAAACAAGAAACAGGGTTTTACAGTTTCACAATTGTGAAATGGGATCAAATATCCTTCAACAAAGACAACATTTTTCTTACCATGAAGTAGAAAAAAATTAGTGGGAAAGAGGAGAAAGCAAATGAAAATGAAAAGATGAGTGTGGATGTTCTGGTGTTCCTTCTTCCTAAGTCCCTCCATTCCTTTGCTTTGTTTAACTCCTGATACCATAATGTGAAAGTCTATGGGATAAGGCAAATCAGGTGAATTTTCTGAATGAATGTATAGATAGTTACTATATATGGGTTTTTAATGTATGCATGCTAGTAGGATATTTAAAATGGGTTTATTATACATAGATACTCAAGTACATTTTTGTGTATGTTTATGTTTGTAGGTAACTAGTCGAGCTAACCAAGAACTTACTTTTACACATAACTTAGGCCTGTGCTGAATCTCTGTAAACTTAATAATGTATAATTCGTATTGTTGGTAATAAATCGTAGGGTGTGATTCCATATCTTTCTTTGCCCAATCATACAGAAACATTTCTCCCTCATGTGCAATCTTTGGAATTAGGGCTTTTCCCCCAGAAAGGGAAAGATTTTGTAGTTGAATCAGTTTCTTTGAGTGATACTTTATTTCTGCCTTATTGTGAGAGTAAGAAGGACAACACTTCCTTTTGTTCTTTTAAGTGACTGTTTTTGGAGACAGTAGCTCACAGTGTAGCTCAGGCTGGCTTTGAACTCATGATCCTCTTGGTTCTACTTTTTGAAAGCTCAGATTACTGATGTGTGCTACCATGACTTTCTTTTTTCAAGAAAACTGTTTGTTTATTGATGTCTCTGCTCTTTAGGCATAATTATTATATTTTTTGGTTTTTCCAGACAAGGTTTTTCTGTTTAACAGAGCTTGGGCTGTCCTGGACTCTCTTAGTAGACCATGTTGGCCTAGAACTCACAGAGATTTGCCTGCCCCTGCCTCCCAAGTGCTGGGATTAAACGTGTGGGTCACCATGCCCGGCTAGACATTTTACTCATGTTATATCATTTATTCTTTCAATAACTTAGTAGCATATGGCTATGGTCCTAAATTTTATTGATGTTTAGAAAGTTGAATAATTTGCTGGAAGTCATATCTTGTAAGTGTTAAAACCAAAATTTGACACATTGTTTTTAACAAAATCTCATTTAATTTTACCACCCTGTCTCCAAAATTAAAAAAAAAAAAAAAACCCACTTAAACTGAATGTCCCTTCTTTCTACTTCCTGTGCATTTCTCTGTCCATCCTCCTGACTTCCTCTTAGTCTCTATGGTTTTTTTTCTGTGTTCACTCCCTGTCAACTGGTTGCTTGTTTTGCCTCTTGACCTATAGTTGACTTTATTTAATCCTGTTTACAATATTCAAACAGAAAGCTCGTAGATGAGAGGTGTGTGCTAGGACTGAGCTGCACCACAACTAGAAACAGTTTTTTCCAGGAAACAAGAGTCTCAGGGTTCACAGTATAATCAAATATCCTGCAGCAACAACTGTCTCTAAAAATGAAGAGAGGAGAAATTTAATGTGCTTAAAGTCAAGAATGGGGAGATCACATTGTGAGACCTGGCTGTAATATCATGTGATCTGTAACAGTAATAACTGATAATTTTACCTATTATCTGTTGCTGCCAGCAATGTGATCAACACTACTGCTATAAAGTGTATAGTGAATGCAATATTTAATATTAGTTATTTAGACAGTGATTTGAATGCATAGTCAAGTGGCATTGAAAGTTTTTGAATAGGTGGAATAACAGTAAATTTGAATTTTGGAGAGGATAATTTTTTGCAGAACATAGTTTTGTTTAGAATGAGTTGGTCTTGAAGGTGGACTGTCATCTTAAAAGATGTTAATGTATCTGGATAAGAGGTACTGCAGTTGTGACAGATGGCAGTGAAAATTATATGTGAGATAGTATATAAAGAATATGGATAAAATAGGGTTTTGCTTTGTGAATCCTCCAGCCTCAGCTTCTCAAGTGCTGGGATTACAAATGTGCACCATTTGGCTCACATGTAACTATAATAGGTTTTATTTGAGCATTGCTGCAACGAATACTGAGGATCTACTGTGATGTCTGGGATTACTTGGTTCTACTTCAGTTAACAAAATTTTCTTTAAAGGACCAGATAGCAAATATTCTAGGCATTCAAGTTATTTGGGCTATTGGCTTTTTTTTTCTCTCCACTTAATAAAATGTAAAAATAATTTAACTTGTTTGTATATAAAAGTCTAGAAGCTATATTTGGCCTGTGGGCCCTAGTTTGCCAGCTTTTCTTCTAGGTCAAACAAAATCTAATCTTTATGTGACATTTGAATTTTACTGAATTTATTACAAACTTGGGTGCCTATATCTTCTTGTTACAGGAAATAGCAAACTATGTACATAAAATACTGTGTAAATAATATGTAAATTACTATGTAAATGATCATGTTAGTAAATCTCTCAGCTTTAACCCTTCCAACATTATATAACTACAGTATACCAACATACGACCAGTCTTAATTTAGTCCATACCTCCCCCTCTTTTTAGTTTGAGTCAGCTTCCAGTCGTTATGTATATATGCATATTTCTGTGTTTTTCTTGACAGTGCAACCGTATCTCCGTTACTATAGCTTCTTCTATTTTTATCTTCTCTTCTGGCTATTTTTCATCTTCCTCTTTTCCAAATAGAGTGCATACTTTCCTAACTTTTTGAAAGAAGCCTTGTTTTTTAAAAAATTATATTGATTCCGAATATTCATTTCAAGATAATTGATGTTTACCAATAATCTTCTGAACTATTAGCATGATACAACTGTATTTTTGTTTTAATTTTGTTTTGAGGTATGTTATTGCTCTATAGACCGTACTGAACTCAACCTCATACCAATTCTGCTTCTAGTTCCAACATGCTGAAATTAAAGGCATGAGCATACCAGGCTTACCTCTGTACACATTTACATGTCTCTTACATCATTTGTGAATCTCAGCCTGTATGTTATACATAGCGTTTAAAAATAGATTTGTCAATAATTTCATGCGCTTCGCTGCTGTCATAATTTTTTCTAAAGTAAATTTCTATTGTTAGTATATATACCAGCGTATTAAAATGCAAAAGGCTTGAAAAATTGGTTAAAATATCCTCATGTGTCCATGGAAATGTGCTTCATCTTAGTAATGATTCTCTAGTCTTTCTTTTCTTAGAAAAACTTTATGAAAATTATTTCACATATTTTCAGTTATTTTTTTTCAGTTATTATTCCTAAACTTTTTCTATGTTGTTTTCACTTTATTTTATTCCTACTCTTCTTGAGATTTTACTTCTTTTTTGTGTTATTCTGTCAATCAGAATCATTCTAGACCTTTCCTTTTGTCTCTCATGGCTTTGCCTTGTTTAGATTTCAGTGCCCCACAGTTTTTTGTTGGTGTTTTACAAGGGAATTTTTATTAAAGTCCCTGAACTTTCAGTGTCCTTCTTGATTTGCTTATAGGTTATAGCTTGTAAAGGTTCCTTCTAGAATTGTATACTATTCTACATCAGTTTTGAGGGAAAGAAACATAATGTAGTAGCTAGAGACCATTTGATTTCTGGGTATCTGATCTAGGGCTAGCCTGCTTTTTCCCTTTCTTCTTACTTTTGGGATACTGTGTCATTATGGTGTTAGAGTTTGACCTTAACTGGTCAGAGTTGGGATTTGTGAAGGATACTCAATTATGTTATATTTGTTGCTGGTGTTTGGTTTTGGTTTAATTTGAGCTGTTTTATTCTACTTGTTCTGTCTGTTTTTTGGTTGGGGGCGTTCAGGGGGAAGGGAGGGAGGGGCACAGGTATTTATAAATGTTCTTTTAAAAAAATTGTGGCTTTTTCATGGTCAGGTTGTCAGAAGCTCTTGAATCTTCTTAAATATTCTGAATATGATATAAAAGATCTTAACTGATGGATGAGACTTGTCATTTATAGAGTGTGGGGAGGCTTAAAAAAGAGAGACTGAAAATACAGAAGAGAGATTGAAAAATTAATGGTGTTTGTGCTCTTGAGGTAAATAGCAGGCATAGATATAAAGGTGTTGGTAGAGGGAATAGAGTTGAACATAGCAAGAGGGCACTTTGTCTTAACAGAATGAAAGAGATGAGATTTCCCTCAGGAATGTTAATTTGTAAGTCTTAGCAAGAAGAGGAATTGTATTTGTATTTTTAATTTTCTTAGTTATTTTATTTATTTTTTTCTTTGAGACAGGGTCTCATGGTAGCCTAGGCTGTCCTGGAACTCCCTATGAAGCCAAGGATGGCCTTGAACTCCTGATCCTCCTACCTCCGTTTCTGAGTGCTGGGATTTGCAGATGTGCACCACTACGCTTGACTTTTCTTAGAAAAATTTAATGTGAGCTTATCTGGAAAAGAAAGTAAGTTTAGGGGCCTTGAAGAAAGCAGTAAATATTTTGGAATGGAATAGTGAAAAATAGGAACAATATTTAACCAGAAATAATACGAGAGTAAACACTGGATAATGCTTAGAACCCTAAGCTAGGCTAACTCTTACATCATATATTTGAAGACTCTACTTTCTAAAAAGCTTTTCAGTTTTGTCTTTCTGTAAGTTCAATTTAATTTTAGAGAGAAGGTAGTGTTTTTATTGCCCTCAGTTGAGGATTTTGTGGCACATACATTAGAACATGAGGGATAAACTTGCTAAGGTGTGATGCAAGAGATTAGTTCAGGAGATGCATTCTGGGATAGTGGCAGCATAGGTACTAATGGGTTGGAAGAAAAGGGAGATCTCAAGGGACTCCTGACTAACTCTAGAGCAGATATGTTAGAGGTGGGGATGATAAGAAAGTGAGTTGAACAGGAAGTTGAAGTGAAAACAGTATAATAGAGTTTAAAATATTAGGACTAGAACACATTGCTACGCAATGGAAAATATTATAGTAAAAGAATTTCAGAAGTGGAGTTTGTTGTGGTAAGTGTAGCTCACTACATAGAAGGGTACCTCTATCTTCCTGTCATCCTGAGGTGATGGCAAGAGTTGGGGTACAGGGAAAATGTTAACCACATAGGTACCTAAACAAGGGAGAGATGGCACCACCCCAACTGATGAAGTCAGAACTCAGAGAAAGGTATGAAAAATAGAGTAGAGGGCGATTTGTGTGACTAGAAGACAGAGACAAATCTGTTATGTGTAGTATTCATCACCATGACCACCAGAAGTTGAACAAACTTCTTGAAAGGGACCTAGTATATTTTAGAATATGTCATGTGCATGTGCTTTTTAATGCATAGACTTACTTACTTTGCATATTCTTATTCACTGGTCTTTGTGACTCTTAAAAATGTGATAATTATTCTTTATTCATGATCCACGTAAAAGCAGACAGTAGTGATAAAAGGGTTTTAGTTTACTGGGCTATAATTATACTCAATATGAATTATCTGACTACTTTTTTGTCACTTAAATTTTATTTTTGTGAAATTTATAGTTTTTCTAAGCCATTCTTTGTACTTGAGTAACAATAGCTTTGAATCAGGAAGTGTTAAGAGGGTAACATGTATTTATTTTTAAAATACTGTCAGCATTCATTTATACTGCTATACTGCTTAGAATAGTAGTTATAAATTTCTGAACAAATATTTTGTTTTTGTTTCTTTTGTGGTGTATTCAAGTTGAGCCAGCAGATTCTAGAGTTGTTTGAAACTTGTCAGCAGCAAACAAGTGACTTGAAGAAGAAAGAACTCTGTAGAGCACAGCTGCAGAGAGAGATTCAGTTGCTTTTCCCACGTACGTCTGCCTTCTCTGCATGCCTTTATTGTCTATACGTTCCTGTTTACAAACTGTAGCACTTCTTACCGTTTTCTTCTGCTTCTCTAGAAAGCAGACTTTTTTTGGTTGGATCATCTTTAAATGGATTTGGTGCCCGGAGCAGTGATGGCGATTTATGCTTGGTTGTTAAAGAAGAACCAGTAAGTGATGAGACATTATTACAAGTCTATTTCTTATATTACATAAGTTTAGAAATAGAACTTGGTTTATTCTAATTAACTGTTTGAATTTTCTGTGTAGTGCTAGAAGGACCTCTTTCTCTGCCCTGCACATGTAAGGTACCAGCCTGGTATACAGAAGAGCAGCTCCAGCAGTAATGAGCTCTGAGCTGTTGATGAGAACTGGCTCCTCTGTGTGGTTTTTCAGGTGTTGCCTCTTACTATGAAATGTCACTGGGCTGAGTTTAAATCTTTTTAAATCTGTATTCTCCCCCCCCACCTTGAAAATACAGTAGGCTTTGAGTTCTTTTTTTTTTTTAAATAAGACTTCAGTGAAATTTAAGACCTTTGATTTAGTAAATTTAACATTTTTCCTAAGATACTGACTTCATTTTGGTTTTGTTTTTATTTAACAACCGAATTGTGTTATTTAGAATTATATTTATTTGAATTTCCTGTTAACTGATCTTTTGAATATCTTAATACTATAGAAATTTTTCAGTAAACTTATCCAACCCAGCCTCTTGTAGTTGCTCTTTTGAATTACCAGACTTTTTGATTAAGTTGAACATAATTTTAATCTTTCTTTATTTCTTTCTTTTTTTTTGGGGGGGGGGTGTATTTTTGAGATAGGGCTTCTTTGTATAGCCTTGATTGTCTGACTCTCTTTGTAGACCAGGCTGGCTTTGAACTCAGAGATCTGCCTGCCTGTGCCTTTCTGAGTGCTAGAATTAAAGGCCTGCACCACCACTGCCTGGCTTTAGTATTTCATACTGTGCTTCATATCCTTAAAAATGCAAAACAAAATCTTGATTGTAATATGTAGTTTTATTCTGGTTATTGTAAAAGAAAAACAGGTTTATTTTAAGAAAGCATCTGCTAATTTTTTTTTATGCTCTGAGATAACACAAAGGAAAAGAAAATGGGGAAAACAAGCAAACCAGAAAACCCCTTAAATATCAGTATAATGGAGATTGCAAATCCTGCAGCTAGAGTACACTGGGCACATCTTGCTAGCTCTGTGATCTTCATCACATTCGTAAGTCATTGCCACAGCTTCCACACTGATACTCTATACACTGTACATAATCCATAAGCACTTCATGCTCTTGATAATGAAATAAAATGTTACAAAGTTAGGATTTTGTTCAATTTTGTTAGATGAGTTTTTTTTTATCATTTATAGAAAAGGAAAAAATGACATGGTTATTTTCAATTAAAAATTATTTGATTCTGGAATGTAGATATGAAACAGCATTGAGGTTGACTTTTTGTAGTGTATATTTTGAAAAGTACTTTGAAAGAAAAATACATGGTTTATGTTTTGCTTTGTGTTACTTTAAAAATCAAACACTAAGCTAAGAAAATAATGAAAAAACACTTTAACTTTTCAGTGTTTTTTTTTTTTTCAGGTAAATCAGAAGACTGAAGCACGACATATACTCACCTTAGTCCATAAACACTTCTGTACTAGACTATGTAAGTCTCACAGACCTTCTGACATAACTATTATTTAAAATGGTACTCACTTAATCTCTCTGGTAAGAATTGTTTGCTTTCTGATGAGAACAATTAGAACATAGATTATTTTCTTCTAACTAACTTCTTTTACACTTATTTTCTTTTTAAGATAGGGTCTTGCTATAAATAAATATATAGAGAGCCTAGGCGGCCCTTGAACTTGTGATCCTCCTGTCTCAGCCTCATGCATTTTGGAGTGTATCACCATGCCTGTCTTCTTTTAACTATGGGCGAAAAAGCATGATTCAACAATTCATTATTGAATTTACTTGAAAATCCATTGAAGGCATGTGTCATCTTGAGAATTGAAGATATATAAGCTTTCCTTCTTTTTTTTTTTTTTTTTTTTGTTTTTAAAATGTTATAGAACTTTAGGAAAATAGGCATGAATGAACAGTTAGCTGTAAGGCAAGTATCTGTGTAGCCAAAAACATGATAGTAATAGTCATATAGGTATAAATGTTGTAGCTCCCAGGGGAAGGGTATCCTGGCAGTTGGGAGCCAAGGAGTACCACAAAGTCATAATGACAGCAAACTTCAGATAAGAGATTTATTGAGAAAAACACAGGAGGAAGATGTTTTCCTGAGCTTGGGAGAGAAGCAGCAGAGAGCCAACGAGGCAGGCTTTTTAATAGGACCTCTGGGAACAGAGATTTCCAGGATGGCCTGGGATTGGTGGGATTTTTTTTGCCTGATCTTGGGGTTTTTGCTCTGCAGGCTGGAGCTTGGCCACCTGGGTCTCAAGGGGCTGGGTCCTGCCACTATGGCCATTAGAGTGAGCAGAGCCTGGTGGTTGGAGGGCCTCAGAGGTGGGACTTGGCTACTTGTGTGCTTTGAGGGCCTTACAGTCACCTTTAGCAAAGTGGCTGGATACAAAATTAACTCAAAAAAATCAGTAGCCCTCTTGCATATGAAAGACAAAAGGGATGAGAAAGAAATTAAGGAAACTACACCCTTCACAATAGCTACAAATAACAAAGTACCTTGGTATGATTTACCAAAGCAAGTGATAGTCTCTTTGTAAGGGAAGAATTTCATATGCTTTTCATTAATACACATCTTTATTTTACAAATGTGAGCTCTAAACATGTTTGTTACCCCCAAAGAAAGCAAAATTGTTGACGAAGACAATTTTATTATAATATTTTTTTTAATGAACTTAGTAAATTTTAATCTATACTATCCCATCATACACTTTATTTTGAATGTCCACGGAATATTAAAGAATGTTATGATGCTGGAGAGATTTTTGTCAATTTTCTTTTAACAGATACTCATGTATAAGGCTTTGAATTGGGAAACACAAAAACAAAAACAAGTCACTATCCTTGAATAGTTTATATCTGTTGTAGGGAAAAAAAAGAAAACAGTTATTGGAATCGATATGTTATTTCATCTATAAAATTAAGAAATAATTCATACTGTCAGTGGATTTTAATCATTCTTACCATAGTTGAAAACTGATAAATGGGTCTGGAGAGAAGGCTTAATAGGAAGTACTTGCTATGTAAATGTGAGTGTCTGAGTTTAGATCTCTAGCGCCCATGTTAAAAGGCTGGGTTTGTTAGCTTACATCTGTAACTCCAACACCAGGGGTGAGGATTGGGGCAGAGACAGGAGGATCCTGGCTATGCCCGTGCATTCTGTCCAATTATGGAGCATCAGTTTCACTGAGATTTTAATCTTAAAAAATTAGCTGGAGAAATATAGAGGAGAACACTAGATTTTGACCTCTGGGCTCCACACACACATATGCATTTGTACTTATATATATGTACATGGAGGAAAACATGAAACGTTACCCTTCCTACCAAAACCACTAACAACAAAATTTTAACTTTTAAAAAAAGGAAATCTGGTATTGTCTTTTTCTATAGTTAAAAACTTTGGACATTACTCCCGCTTTTAGATTTTTTGAAAAAAGTGTTTCTTTCTTTTGATTATATGTCTTTTTTTGGGTATGTGCACATGAATGTATGTGCCATGGAGACCAGAAAAGGGCATTGGATCCTTTGGAGCTGGAGTTACAGGCTGTTAATTAGCTGCCATCGTGGATGCTGGTGTCTGAACTTAGGTCTTCTGAAAGAACAGTATGTGCTCTTCACCATGGCAGTTACTGATTTTCTGTAATTTACATGCATTATTTTCTACAATAAATTCCTTATACCTTTGATGAAATTAAAAATGTTATGTATTTTATCCTCTTTGAGATAATATATAATTGAATGTATTCTTGCCTCATCAAGTTGCAAGTATTTACATATTACAAATGATTTCTGCAATTACCATCCATTTCTTACTGTTATACCAGAATTTAGCAATTTCCTTACTTTTAGCTATTTTTTGCATTGAGATGTTTTAATGTCTTTATAGATACTGCTATATACACTAGATTTTTTTTTTTTTTTTTTGAGAACAAAAACCCTTAAAGCCTTTATATAGCTCTTATATGGACTTGATGTCTGTCTTTCCTTCCTCCTTATCCTTCCCATTTCTTCTCTCCTGTGAACCTCCCCCCCTTCTTTGATAGGGTCTCATTATGTGTTCCTGTCTTTCTGGAACTCTTTTTGTATCCTTATTCTTATATTGTGTCCTTATATTTTATTCTTATTCTTATTAATCCTTTATTTTTCAAGGACAGCATTTGATCTTAAGTAGGTTTAGTTTATTAAAACACTACTTTTAAAACTGCATTGGAACATTATGAATGAGAAAACAATGGCAGATACTCATATTATCTTTTTCCTTCAGCTGGCTACATTGAGAGACCTCAGCTGATTCGTGCAAAAGTGCCAATTGTGAAGTTCAGGGATAAAGTCAGGTAAATAATTACTAACCCCTCTTTTCTTAGGTGCTTTAGATTAACTTTGGCTAGTCACATAATGTGGATAGCTAAGAAATCAGTGTTAAAGCACAGCAGCTTATCTTTAAGGTTTTAGGGATAATTTTCTAGTTAATTTTCTTTTTTTCATTTTCTTCTTTGTCTTTTGTTATTTTTCTAGACAGGGTTTCTCTGTGTAATACATCTCTGGCTCTCCTGGACTCCCTTTGTAGCCCAGGGTGGCTTCAAACTCAGAGATTCACCTGCCTCTGCCTCCCGAGTACTAGGATTAAAGGCATGTGCCACTATGCCCAGCTTATTCTTTGAATCAGTCTGGCTGTGAGGACAGCTCTGAACTTTGGATTCTTCTGCTTTCACTTCCTGAGTGATGACATTGTAGGTGTAGTCACTATTGTCTTTAAATTAACTTTTGAAATAATTTGAGAGGTCTTCATGTTTAACTGAATTTAGCTACTCTGCTTCAGTCTTGAGTATTTGGGACTATCCAGTTTGGGTTTTAAAATGATTCTCTTGTAGCCTAGCATAAAGGTTCATATTTGCAAATGGATTTCTGTGAGTTTGAAGCCATGCTTGGTCTATACCAATGGTTTTCACTGGTATATACCTTCATAATGGTGCAACCCTTTAATATAGTTTTTTGATTTGTGGTGACCCCCACTCCAACCATAAAGTTGCTATTTCATGACTGTAATTTTGCTTCTGTTATGAATTGTAATATAAATACAAGTATCTGTGTTTTCTGATAGTCTTGGTGACTATGAAAGGGGTTTTTTTTACCTTCAAAGGCATCTTGACTCAGAGGTTGAGAACCACTGCTCTATACAATGAGATCCAGGTCAATCAGCGTTATAGTGATGACTCAGTGTAAAATGTAAAAGACCGCATATTTTGGGAACATATAATGTGTTCCCCAAAACATATCTTTTTTGATAAAATTTGGTGTGTATTTATATCAGAGAGTTTGTTGTAACTTTTAAGTATCATTAAATGTCAAAAGCTGGCTTTGACACCAGGGTAAACTGAGGTGGGATGTTGAGTTGTTGAAATGGAGGGGGGTGGTGGAAGTTGGTTACTTCTAGCAAGAAACACTGAACTTTCTTTAACTCTTAAACAGCTAGAGCTGATAGCTTGATCATAGCTTGATCATGGAGAAAGACTCTGGAAAAAGGAAAGGGGAGGGAGCTGGAGCAGATGGCTTCTGGTAGATACTGCTGGTAGAGAAAGAAAAGAAGAAGGGGAAAAAACATACACACACACACACACACACACACAGGATGAAACAAAGGCAGGCTCCAACAAATTCACATATACCCATACACAGATATACAGGTACAGTCAGACAGAAGGACAGACAGACACATTCGGTGGTTGAAGCAAACTCTTAAGAGTGAGCTCCAATAAGCGGGCTTTAAAAGGCTCCAACAAGCTTCAATAACTTCTTATATACATAAAAATATACATACATACAAACAGGCAGACAGACATATTTGGTTGATGTGGATGGAGCAAAGCTCTGACAAGCAGGCTCCAAGAGGCTCCAATCGACAGTGTTTCTTGTTTTTTATACTTTTTATGTCAGAGGAAAAATTATCTCATAGCCATAAAAACAATTATCACAGAAATAGATAAAGTTGTTACACAGAGGGATATAACAGTAGGATTATTGATTACTCATGCCTAACTAAACATTTCTTATCCATCACTTCATCCTACAAGTTCATTGTAAGTTCAGAGCAATAGTTCTTCATGTCATAGGTTAACAAGGTTTAAGGTTAAGGATTTACAACAAGATAATTTCTTACATGTCTTTCCATTAAGACTCATATCTAATTTAACATTCTTCAGCTATGTTTCATTCCATGAGTTTATTGAAAGTTCAGAGTAGGAGTTGTTTTTTTTTTTTTTTTATGTAATAGGTTAACAAGTTTTTTAACCAAGAAACAGGTCATCTATCTTATATCTTATTTTTAAGGCCTTGTATATCTTAAATTAGTTAGTTATCATGGTGCATACTGAGATTGGTGATCCCATCTCTGGACCTAACCTAGAATGAATGTTTTCCTAGATCATAAATTTGTCTCAGTCCTTTTCTTCCTAGTGAAATTTATGTGTTTGTGACATATGAAGGTTCATGGAACTCCCTTACGCAGCCTTTGCTATTTTGCAGGGTCGGGGTTCTTAAAGTTAGCTGAATCAAATCGGGAATTCATTATCAGGAATTATAAAATTATCTGTTCATCTAAACAACATTGTTTCATGAAAGTACATCTTCATATTGATACTGCTGGTAATTTGCCTAACAGAATGGGTAAATACCCAGGAAACAATAGGCAGTGAGGGTCTCTCCATGCCATGCCAATATTTGAGGAGTACAGCAATATCAAGCATGAAAAGGCATATCAGCAACAAAAAGCTATCCGTAAACAAATTCCCTGAAGTCCATGCCTCTTCAGAGTATAGCCATTGTCAGCTGTGCAAAAAACAAAACAAAACAAAACAAAAAAACAAAAAACAAAACCAGTGGGCTGCCTTCAGGAAGCTTACTTGCTTGCTAAAGTTCACCCTACATGGCCTGTGCCAATAAAACAAACTATATTTCATTTAAAGAAAGATGTAGAGCATATAGGGAATAAGAAAAAGCTGTAAAAACACTGAATTTCAAATTTAAAAAATTTTTAAAATATATATTTTCTTTATATTTTCCTAGCTTTGGTTCTGATTTCTTAAGACTGTTGTATTAGAATGTATTACATAACATTTGAATATAAGAATGTAAATGGTATAATCATGTGTTGTAATCATGACATTGGGAGTTGGAGGTAGCAGGATGATGAGTTCAAGTACAGGAAGGGCTAATAATGAGTATCTCAAAACAAACAGGCAAGCAGAAATAAGAAAAGTTAAGTGTAGATTGATTGTATAATTTATTGAAAAGATTCATAAACTGTTTTCTAAACATAGGATTATAATATAGCAAGTTTTTCTAGATGTTTACAGGGATAACAATGAAATCATGCTTTTGCATATACAGAATTGAACTTTCTTATTTTACATTTAAAAGTTGTTTTCTTACAAAAATTTACTTCTGCATTTATGTATTGTTCAAGGTGTGGCAAAAATTTGGGGCTAGTTTAATACCTATGTTTCCACCTGAGGTTGAATAAAGTGACATTCTGCCTTCTTGTTATAACTCTCTCATGCTGCAGAAAAATACCCTTTTTCATAATTTAGTTAGTAAATTTTCACTGTTTAAAATGGTCTTAAAACTTAATTTTCTAGTAGTTTGTAAATGTGAGAAGCCTGTGATTTGTCTTGTGGAAGAAACATGATAGGTAGATACTTAATTCATATTTTTAGAAATTTATTTTTCTTCTAGTGCTGGAGAATGTTCATTTAGGGCATTAGGTATGCAGGCAAGTAATCTACCACTGACATATTTCTCCAGTCCCTTTGAAAAGATTGAATTCACCAGGTCTCTACTTATATGGTTTTCTTATGTATTGAGTTATGCAGGCAATATATAAATTGGCTCTGGTGTTTCTTTCGCCAGCATAAAGATGGTGATTGTTGTCACCTTAAGTTTCCCAAAGCTTTTTGTATATCTCAGCAGCTCTAGCATTACTACTCATTTATTATGAGCAGAAGTGAGGGGATGTTTGTCAGATGTTTTGTTTTGTTTTTTTTTTTTTGTTTTGTTGTTTTTTGGCTCCCCACGCAAGAAAATCGTAAGGTAAATTTCAGATTTTGTAATAACATAGAAAGGGATTGTTTTAATTAGTTAATTGTTGGACTAATTTATTTTGAGATAAGATCTTGTACATCGCACAGACTGACCCCAAGTTCTCACTTCTGTCTTGGCTTCCCATTTGCTAGTTTAGAGGCATGTATTATCCAAATCTTATTTTTGATAGTGTTTAAAAAGGGTGAGGGGCATTTGTTTATTGTGTATGTATGTGCATGGTTCATGTTTGGCACACTATGGTGTATATGCAGAGGTCAGTTCTCAGTTCTCTTCTTTCATCATGTGGATCCTGAGATATTGATCTCATCTTGTCAGTCCTAGTAGCAAGCACCTTTTCTCACTGAATCATCTTGCCTGTCCTTTTGATAGCCATTTCATAGAACAATGTAGTGTTAAAAGAAACTAGACCCAATAGAATATATAAGTGGAACTAATTTATATGGAGTAATTTTTCCTTGTTGGTAGATTTTAACAGTAATTGCCCAATTTTCTAAGTTGTGAGTTAAGAATCTTTGTTTCAAAGAAGCATTGGTGATGTTTTGAGTAATGTGTTTCTTCCAGATCATCAGTACCTGCATCTGACATAGGATTTTCCAGTCATTTTTGAGGGAATATGATGTATAGATATTTTTTTAAAACTTGAATTATATTTGGCTTATTTTTATTGTTGAAATAGGTAAACCTATGTTTTGAGAAGATATAACTTAGTGGGATGGTTTACATCAGAATGTTTTGGTCATAGGATTTTGTTTATCTAGAAAAGGTTACAAGATTTTAAAACTTCACTTTGAGTAATTAGAGACATCAGTATATTATGGGTCTTTTAAATAGTGATCTTATATTTTTAATATACATCAGACTACTTTAAGTGACATACTATATCTACTGTTATATATATTCTATATACTATATACACATCTATTATTGTATATCTATGTAGTATATATATTGTGTATACTATAGCATATATAGTGTTGCTACTTCATAACTAATTTTGCTACTGTTATGAATTGTAATGTAAATATCTGTATATAGTATAGTATATGTAGCATATAGTACATATACATATATATACATGTATACTATGTATATATTCTTACTTTAGTGACATCAAACTTCATTGACTCCCTTTAAAAACACAGCCTATGGCTTTTAGTCCATGTGACATCAGTGGATAGATTGCAGTCAGTTTAATTAATAGAAAGAGTGGTTATTTGTACTTGTTTTAAAAGTGTGTTTTTTTTTTTTTTCTTTAAATAGTTGTGTGGAATTCGACTTAAATGTAAACAATACTGTTGGAATTAGAAACACATTCCTTCTCAGAACTTATGCATACCGTAAGTTTTTGTCTTGTTTTAAATAACCATCAGCCTGTTTTTGTTATATTCTTTATGACCTTTCAACTATGTTACAGTAAATATCAGTACCCCATTACTTGTGTTTAGTTAAACTGAATTTTGTTTTTTGGATAATATGTTGCTATAGTAAAGTTATATGCTACTGTACTTTGTATAGAGGGAAGCAGTGTTTCTTACTGGGGTAGAATCAGGAAATTATATATACTTTCAAAGAAACCATGATACTATCCTTTTTAAGTGTCAATTTTACTTGCAGTTGAAAATCGAGTTCGTCCATTAGTGCTGGTGATTAAGAAGTGGGCAAGTCACCATGAGATAAATGATGCCAGTCGTGGCACTTTAAGCAGCTATAGTCTTGTATTGATGGTTTTGCACTATTTACAAAGTAAGTATTATGGTAGTTTTTCACTTTTTAAAACTGAAATTCAGACAAACCTCATTGTAGTATCTTTTTTGCTTATTTCCAATTTGCATTATTTTAAAAAATTCTTTTTCTAAGGCCTGTGTAACTTTTTATCCTGTTTTGTTGCCTTGAGCTAATATTTTAGAAATTTTATTCTCTGGAAAACATTGTGAAAAAATTTCAGTGTGCTTTTGTCTTTTCACAGTTTTCTTATATGCAATTTTTATTTGAAGAAGTTTCACTATTGTTGATTTCACTGTCTTGCAACAGATGAGTGCTCAGAAAGACTGTTAACAGCTCTGAGGGGAAAAGTAGCCTAGCAGTTGGAAGCCAAGAAATACCAGCTACAAAGTCACACTACACAACAAACCTCACACAACAGATTTATTGGTATAAATACAGAGTGTGGCTGCATCCGCTTGGAAGCAAAGAACTTAGTGAGGGCCAGGTTTTATATAGAGTTGATTGGAGGTGGACTTTTTCAGGGTGGCCTGGGATTGGTAGGATTTTGTGACCTGATCTTTGGCTTTTACTATGTAGGGCAGTGCTTGGCCACTGGGTCTCAAAGACCCTTGGATCTCACTGTTATGGCCATTAGAGTGTTTTTTAGGTGGAGTCTGGCAGTTGGAGGTCCTCAGGGGCAGGTCCTGGCCACTCATGCACTTGGGAGGCTTACAAGATAGAAATTAAATGATACTCTTGTTGGGTAAGAAGCTTATAATCATTCCTCTTTGGCTTCTTCTCTTCAACTGGGTTTTATATTTGCTTGGCTATTCTGTCAGACATGAGGATCACCTGTCTGAGACATCTGTCACTCTGTGCTTGCCAGGTTGGTTTGGATAATGTGACTGGCTACCCTCTCTTCCCATGTTCCTTCATGTGCATCCCTTTTTAGAATGGCAAAATAGGAGAAGATGGCTTTTCTTGAGAGAGGACCATTCTTGGCTTCAGGATATGCAGAAAGTTCTCTGGTCCTCCAATGAACCTATAAATCAGCTCTCAAATTCCAGATTGGCCTCAGATTTTAATTCAGTCTAGGTAGCTTTGTTTATGAAGTCATTCTGATAAAGCCATAAATTTGTTCTGTGCTTAGTGGCAAATTATAAGTGAGCACTTGTAATTTTTGCCCTTTTATAATGTAGCTGTAAGAACTTAGAGTAGTGAAAGTTCCCTAGAAACACAGTGCAGACTGATGAACTCTACATGGATCCTTTACTTTTGTGTTTAATGTTTTGTATACAATATGTCCAATAAATAACATATTGTACATATTTTACTCAGCTAAATGCTAAGAGAAGTTAAAGAGAAAACTAAAGATTCATAGTTTTCTCAACTAGGAATCTGTGATGTTTCATTATTGAATAGCATACTTTATTATAAATAACTTCATTAACAACCTGTGGTGGTACATTCCTGTAATCCTAACACTTGTGTGGCATAGGAAAGAAGATTGTAAATCAGGGATTTATAGCCAGAACCTATAAAAACAAAACAAAACAAAAATAAAAACAAGCCAATAAAACCAAAGCATTATTAATAACTGTTACAGCTGCTGGATTACTAACAGAATGTTCCTTTTTCCAGCATACTATGAGTTCTTGTGTGAGGTGAATTGCTAATAGGTCACCATCAGTATCATATGGTCTTAACTATTTATTCCAGTCTGCACTGGAGTAATTTTAAAAAGGTTTTATTGTATTGTTTAGGGCTTTCTGCATTTAGATTCTGCAAAAGATAACAAAGTTCATGTACTTTGAATCTAATATTTTGTTTTTTCCCAAGAGATTTATATAAAAAACTATTTCTAGTATTTATTGAACTAATAAGAATCTGAGCTTTCAAGAATGGCATAATTAATTATGCTGTATCATAATAGGAACGCTATATAGTAGCACAATCATGTTTTTAAGATTTTTTTTAAAGATATAGAAATACTCTTGACATATTGCTGTATTCAACATAATTCCAGTATTTTGATCTAAGAATAATCGTATGTGTGCAAATACTGAGAAGGCATGTGTCAAAATTTTGTCAAATTTTTAATAGAAAATTGGATCTTTAATCTTAATATTTTACTATACATTAGCTATTTTCTATATTATGCAATATAGTCATCTTCATTTGAACATAGGAATCAAATTTTTTAAAGTTATAAAAAGACTTAAAATTAATTACGCCAGAAAGTCTTGATACTGTCCTCTCGTTAAAGGGTCTTAAGCTAATCATAATATATTATTGCTGATTTGTCTTGGTTATATGTTGACTTGATGATTGGTTTACTCTTTTAAAATGATTTGGATTGTGATGTATATTGCTTTAATCCACTCTACATATCATTATCACTAACAATTTTTTTCCAATTTTCTAGTTGTATTATTTCTTAAATAAGTTTTTAGGGACTGCTGTCATTTTTATTAAAAATTGAAACAATTTCATATATATTATATAGAACAATACAGTAATCATAGTATCATCCAGTACTGAATCATTTTAATTTTGGGTAGTAATTAAAAATATATTTGATTGTTAAATGTGCATGATGTATATCTGATTCATGCCTTGTCCTGCATCTTTATTGTTCTCCATTTTACATTTTTAATTTGGCTGACTACTTGAGAAGAAAAGTACTTTAGGCAGAGGTGCTTTAAGGTGGTTTGTAAAACAAATTGAAAATTCATCAAGAAGTAATGTTTTGCAGAATAATGAAGTTGTTTTAAGATTTTATTTCTCACCGAAGTGGTTCCTGTTTAATGACACTGTTACCAGCTGTTTCTAGGTAAAGCCAGTTATATAATACGTAACTCTATTGGCCAATTTAAGCTAATCCACCACTGTGCCCCTGACTCAAATGATGCGATTGGTAATTGTTTTCTTTGTTGTTATCTCAGTGGGGGGGAAGATGGCTTGCAAGAGACTGAGGGTTGATTTGAGCAATTGAACCTCTAGCACAGAGAACTGGTTTTTCTGATATTGGTCATTTTATTTCATCTCTTTCGCCTTCATGTGCTTACCTATAATATAAGTTGTTGAACAAATGACTATGATTTAACTTTCTAAATGGTTTAAAACATTGTTTGCCATGAAGGAAACTTGTCTGTATGTTGAAAGATTAAAAAGAACATAGTGTTTCTTAGGATATATGTTAGTACTCAGTATCAGACTATAAATGTTTCAATAAATGATGAAAGCTTAAGAGGAAAAATACTGAGAACAGATTCTAAAGACAATCTAAGAGTAAGCGTTACTGAGGTAAAATTATCAGTTGGATAAAAATAAGAATTAATATAACGATCAGCTAGCATATTTCTGGGAAACAACTTCCCAACATCTACTTTTAAATTGTTCTGCATTTTTATAATTACTAACTACTTAGTATTATTGATGATAATATTCTTTGGCTGTTAAAAAGTTTTTATAAATTATTATGGAATGTTTATGGTCTAAGTTTGTAGGAATTTTACCAGTCCTTATCAAGGCATTATCTAATAGTAATATATTGAGATAATGAAGTTTTGTTTATGTTTAGTTTGCTCTTGAAAGAGAAATTTAAAACCCAGAATTCTTAAATAAAAATGAATTATATATAATGATTTTTTTTTTTCTGAGTTTAGGTTGTTTTTGAATAAGATACATGTTTCTTAAACTAGTAGACTCTTTGAGGCTATTATCATAATAGTGCTTACAGTACCTGTTATGAGTGCTTAAGTATCTGTAAACTTATTGTGTCTTTAATTCCTTAAATTAAAAAAAATCTTTAAAGTTGTAAGGCAAAGAATGATTCATAATTGATGAATGATACCTGTCATAGTTACTTTTCTGTTGTGTGATAAAAACGCCATGACTAAGACAACTTATAAAGGAAAATGTTTATTTGGGTTTATAATTTCAGAAGTTTATAGAGTTCTTGATGGTGGAGCAAAGGCTTGGTGGCAGGAACAACTGAGAACTCAATCCATAAGCATGAAGCATAGTAGCACTGTGCATAGTGGGAGGCATAGTGGCACTAAAACCTGAGAGCCCACCTGCAGTGATGCACATCTACCGATAAGGCCACACAACCTAATTTTTCCCAACTACTTAAAAATAGGAGTCTTTGGGCACCATTCTCATTTAAATCACCACATTTCATCCCCTGGCTTCCACAGGCTTGTGGTAGGCATAGTCATAATGTAAAATGTATTTAGTCCAACTCCAAAATTACCCAGTCTTCTCTAGTCTCAACACTGTTAAAATATTAAGTCTCTCTCGGACTCCAGGCAATCTCTTAGTTGCACTTCCCCTTTACTTTAAAAAGCAAATTATATACTTTTCAACATACAGTGACACAGAGTATACATTCCAAAAGGGAGGAATAGGGACAGAGTGAGGAAATACTGGACCAAAGCAAGGCTAAAACCCAGCAGGCCAAACTCTAAATCCTGTAGCTGTGTCTTATGTCAAAGGGCTTAGATGCCTTTGCCCTTCCAGCTTTTCTGCCTGAAACATCCCCTCATGTGTGCGTGTACACACACACATGCTTGCTTGCTCGCTCTTGCTTGCTTGTTTGTTATTTTCCTCATGTGCAGCTCTCCTTGGCAGATGTCTCTTGATTCTGTTATCTTTAATATTTTGGGGTCTCCATTGCAATCCAGGCTTCACTTTTGAAAGCTTCATGAATGACTTCTCCATATCTCCATGCAAGGACTTCTTGGATACACCTGGCTTCAGCGGGTCAACTTAACTGCAGCAGCCTCCTTACTCATGCATCCTTTCTGATTCTGAAGTTAGAACTATGTGGACAATGTTGCCAAGTTTGACTGTCTGCTTGGAATGGAGCCAGGCTCCTTTGAATCACTTTTGCAGAAGTTTTCTTTTGTTCCTTTTTAGGAACAGAAAACTCCTTAGGCCTTTCTTTTTTATAAGTTGTAAGCTTAGCTAGGTAGGGTTCTTGCCCTAAGGTCACCCTTCCCTTTATTCTGTTCCATATCAAGACTGTCTTTAATTTTCTCATCTGATTCTGCATCGCCTGGTTCCAACATTAACTTTCTTGGTACTATTTTCTCCTTCAGTATATTTTCTGTTACTTTTTGTTCCATATGCTCTTTTTCATTATAGACCTGTATAAGAGTGATTATTAATAACCATATCACAAAGTCACTATTAGGCTGTTTTGAAATCTTCTCTGCCAAAGAAATCAGTCTGTTACTTTTCTGATTAGCCTCAGGAGAATTCTTAGGACAAGAAAAAGCAGCCACATCCTTTGCCAAATCACAAAAATGGTCCATAGCCTAGTTGCTAATGTTATTCCAGTGTGAAACCTCTTGAACTGGGCTCTCAAAGTCAGCCTAATTCCAGCACTAATGTCTTCCAAGATTCTACTAGGGTGGTCCATTAAGATGTACTTAGAACGTTAAATTGCTTCTCTGTTTCTAAGTTCCATTCCATTCCTCCAGAAAAACCGTATGATCAAGTCCCATCAATAGCTCACTTCCTGGTACCAACTTCTGTTTTATTTACTTTTCATGGCTGTGACCAAAGACCATGACCGTAAGTTAGCATGGCAGCAGGAACAGCTGAGAGCTCACATCTTGATCCACAAGCAGCCCACCTGTGACACATCTTCACAAACAAGGGCACACCTCCTAACCACACTCCCAACAACTGGGGCATGAATTCAAACATCTGTGGAGACTATTCTCACTCAAGCTACCGTGATATCTTCTAAAACCTGCTTAGTTTTTAAAGGCTCTTTTGTTCTTTGAATGCCTCTAAGCCCAGTGGTAGGTATTTTTTCTCCCCGTTACTCCAAATCATGGTTTTAGAATTGATAAAATTCTCTGTAAGTTTTTTATTTTGTCTTTATCTTTTGTTTTATAATTTAATTCATAAAGTATATAATTGCATAACATTTTAATTTTAAGTAAATTATTTAATTTTAAGTAAACTAATTTCATTCCTGGTAAGAAATTCACAGTTTTTACTTTCATAATGTAGTGAAATTTATTAGAAAGCCATTAAAAGGTTTGTAAAAATATTGAGGCATGTAGAATTAAAGTGTCTGGGTTTGAGTTTACCTGGAAGGTCTTGTAGAATGGTAAATGTCTAAATGCCTCTAGGGAGAGCAAATATGACTGTGTGTGTATATATCATTACTCATAAGGGTGATTTTGGTAAGTAGCCAATTAACTATTTCTCTTATTTCTCTTTATAGTAGTACCATTCATACTCTGCACATGGTCATATTGCAAAATTTTATTTTACTGTTGTTTTCATGTTAAGACCGAAGCATATAAAAAGGAAATATAAATGTATCATCCCACTCAACATTATATTTTGGAAATGACAGTTGGAGGCTTGTATAAGTTGGTCATAGTGCTAAATTACATGTTTGTAAATGTAGTGCAGAGATTATTTAAAAATTTTTGCTAAGCAGCAAAATATTGGGTATTCTTTCTTACTGAGCTTTAGTTATATATAGTATAGTCCTTTTTCTTAAGTACAAACTTTATTATTTGCTACTGTATTTGGTGTCTAATATGAAAGACATCTTGGAATTAAAGTAGTTGTATTTTCTTATCCTCCATATATTTTAGAGTTATGTGAATAACAGAAAAGGTATCTTGTCTTTTATGGCACATTTATAATAATGTGAGATTATTATGTACACATTTAGTGAGATTGGGTTTGCTTTAAAAATCATTGAATTGTGACTTTCTTAGCCATGTAGCTCTGATGGTACTTTCCTAGCATGCGTGAAGCTGTAGGCTTTATTCCCAGCGCTCCAGAACATGGGTTTGGTAGTGCACTTCTATTCTAGCACTGGGGAGGTGGAGGCCTGGACACCCAAAGTTCAAGCTCATTCTCGCCTAAATAGTGAGTTTGAGGCCAGCCTGGTTTGTGTGAGACACTGACTAAATGAAAGAAATGGAAGAAAAAATTTAAATGAGGGTAACAGGATAATGATTCCCTTGTGATATATTTTATTGTATTGCTAGGATGGCTATGCAGATCTCCTGATTTAGATTTCTGGTTCTTTTTGAGGTGTTCTTTAAGCAGTGTTATGAAGTTGAATGCTTTGATTTTTTAAATAGCCCAGTTTTCTTGTAATTCTGGTATTGCTCGTTAATAGAAATCAAGTAATGAAGGGACAGTAATGATAACAATGTTCTCTAATGATATAGGAACATTAAACTGATGGTTTAGGAACACTGAACTGTTAAATTATATGTTTTGATAGTCATGTTCATGTTACTGTCCTTTCAAAATCTGTAGAATTCTGTCTTGCCTATTTTGTTTGTGTTCATTTAATTGAATGGCTTGTATACCTTTATTGGTCGACTCCTATTCTAAAACCTTGTAGAAAACATTGAATTATATAGGAAGGTACATCGTTCATTATCAAAACCTTAAATTATCAATTTAGATGACCTAAAAATTTAGGAGCTATATTCCATTAAATACATGAAAAATTGAATTTTAGTATCAACCCTTGTGGTCTCATACCTGGGATGTAGCTGACAAAATTTTGCATTGTAATTTGAATCATGTGAATCACAGAAGCTTTAAACTTTTTTTTTTATAGCCCTACCTGAACCCATCCTTCCATCCCTCCAAAAAATTTACCCAGTAAGTGTTTCTTATAAATTATTATAATATGTATTATGTCAATTATATATGGAATTATTATATGCAGTATTAATGTGAATATAAAAGTTATAAAGCTAAATACATAATAACATTTTTAAATATAAACTGAAGCAGTGGCCTCTCAAACATTTCAATAACTTGTTCACTTTTTCAGAATGATCTGGTACTTTTTAATTATTGGTATATAATCTGGTCAGTTATGTTGATGTTTGAATTATTCTTGCATGATATGCATGATTATCACTAATGTGGATCACATATACTCAGTTTGTTAGGGCTGGGCCGTACTCCAGCTTTCTTTATACATTTTATATAATTTTACAGCATTTGTGTTAGGTAGTACTTCGGAAAATTTTCATTTTAGGGTTTTCCTATTTTGAAAAAGAGGAAAATTAAGCTGAACAATTGGATAATCTTTTCACATTTCACACCATTTTGTTAAGCAGTAAGTAACAGTAGTATCTTATTTGCATAATATTAAGAATTCTGGCCAGGCAGTGGTGGTACTCACCTTTAATCCCAGTACTTGAGAGGCAGATTTCTGTGAGTTTGTGGCCAGCCTGGTCTATAGCTAGGTCTAAGACAGCTAAGGCTACACAGAGAAACCATCTTGAAACAAACAAACAATTCTGATGAAACTAATAGAAAATAAAGTGTGCCTCCTAGCAGAAATTTAGTATATACTGTTTCATATGAGAGAAACCCAGTTGAAGTAATGTGCATAGTCATGATTTATAAGAATTTTGAAGCTTTTATCAGTGTTCTCATATTTTTTCTCGACAATTTTTCTTCACTCTTCATCATTGCTCATGATTTGTTTTAAAGTTATAGTTTAGCTGGTTCTTTAGAATGTTTTGTCAACCTGAGACCATATAATGTTGGCTTGTTTCACATGTGTTATGTTACATATTTCATACATACAAGAGGTGTTTTTTTTTTTTTTTTTAAAGCTTAATTGGTATTTTACAAAGGAGAGTATTCTATTCAGCTTGTATGCTTGGTTTCCAAACAAGCTATTTACCATTGTACACAAAGTACAACAAAGTATGCTTGAGGTGCAGCAACAGTTTAGTTGAATCTATGATAAGTAAGCTAAAATGGTAATCCGTGTTTTTGAATATTTCTTGTCATTGTGCACACCTGTGGGGTGCTGCCTAATAAAGGTTTCACAAATAGTAGAGTGGGGTCTTCCAGTATTCTGTGGGGCTAGAACAGGCTATGATAAGAACTTTTGACATCTGCCTGTTTGCTTTTTTAAAACAAAATTTTGCTATTATGAAGAATTATTCTAGTGGGTTTTTAATATAGTTAGGAATCAGTCTTTTGCTCTTAAACATGAAAAATGAAAATATCAAGTGTACAACAAAGTAGCTTATTTTAACATTTTGCCATTTTTAAAATAGTAGCAATAGTTTCTTTTTATTTTAATATACTTTAGGGAATATACAAATTTGAGCGTTCCCACCATTTCTCAGGAACAGCAGGAAGGTCCAATTACATGAATTTAATTGTTTTGTGATGGCTAAGAACAGCAGTCAGCACCAGACTTGAATAGTTAGACACAACACAAGCATCCTTCAAAAAGAAATGTCATAATAGCAAGACAGGTAAACCAGCTTAACTAGTGGCACTGCGTGGGAAGTGACTTCTTTGTTATTCTTAAATGTTTTCCTTCTTCCACAAATATCTTCTACTTTAGCTCATACTGAATGGCCTAAAATAATGTCTATGAGTTTATTTTATTGTTTCAGCTTTTTTTTTTTTTTTTCTCTAAGGCCCAGTTTTTGAAGGAAAAAGAGTGACATATTTCAGTATTCAAAGGATCCAGTACTTAAATCTAAAAGACTCTTAGTTGGTATAGTGGCACACAGCTGTGATCCAGTACTTGAGAGACTGAGCTAGGTGAATTATGAATTTGAGATTAGCCTGAGCTATAGTGCAAGATTCTACCTAAAAAAAAGAAAAAAAAAAAAGAAAGAAAAAAGAAAACCAAAAATTTCTTACTGTATACTGAAAGTACATCTATGGAAATCTCACTTGAAATCCTGTGCTATGTGAAATCCTTTGTACTAAAAAATAGGGGAACATCAATTTAGTGTGTCCTGTTCTTGGGAGTAGAAGAGGCAGTAAAAATCCTATTTTTTTTTCTTCTGTGTTTTATTTTTTAATTGATTGACTTTTCCCTCATAACAGAGTCCTAATTTTCATCACATTCACTTCTTATGGTTCTATACTCTCTGTCCTTCTTGTGCTAATGATCCTATTTCTATTAATGTGATGGATAAATAAATTTAATATTAACTTACTCCCACAGCCTTAAATGATACTAAGTGTACTTAGTAGGGAAGGGACAGAGAGTCAAGAGGAAGCAAGTTGAGCCACACTATAAAACAAAATAAAAAAAACTACCACCAGTAACAAAAAACTAATTGTAGAATCCCCTAGATTAGGAATGGCCTAGGTTGCCATCTTAACAATTTAAATCACACAGTTATATTTGCTGTAAGATTGATGTTTATGTTTGTAAGAACTTATTTCCTCCTCTTATGTAGGATTTGTTCTATATGAAATCTAGTTACTGTTCAGAACATTTTTCAATGGTAGAGCAAGCAAATCATCTTGTTTTTTACTAATAATACCCATCACTTACTGAGTACAAAACTTTGTACAAAATTTATTTAATCCCAAACAACCAGACTTGTAAGATTGATGCCTATTTCAATGATGGAAAATAATTTATCAAACCATATAGTTGCAAGTAGATGATCCAGAAACCAGCATTTTTCCCAATAATGTGTTTCCTAAGGGAAGATTAATGTAGCAATCACTAATTGGACTTGCATGCTGCATTTTATTTTATTTGTAAAACATAGCAGATTCTTAACTTGGAAATGACCTAAAAGTTTACAATAACAAAAATTATTATTTTCCAATGGGAAAAATTTTTCCTATTTTTAAAAAATCACAACAACAACAAAACAACAAATATATATATATATATATCCTTAGAGCACTGCACCTCTTACATAGCCCAGCTTGGCATTGACTTAATTTGTTTTTAGGATGTGCCATCAAGGGCAGCCTTTTTTACTTGAGTTCTAAGGACTGAGTTCATGTCCTCAAGCTATTGCCTCAGGACCTGAAGTAAAATAATTTTGGAAATAGGTACTTGTAATACTGAATGTGACAGAAAAAGGGTGAGAGACTGTAAACATAATGTTACCTACAAAAGCTATATTATCCAAGGGTTGCTAACTGTTACTACTTTAACTTAAGAAAGAGCAGTCTGCCAAGTATGGTGGTGCATGCCTTTAATCCCAGCACTCAGGGGGACAAAGGCAGGTGGATTTCTGTGAGTTTGAGGCCACCTTGGTCTACAAAATGAGTCCAGGACAGCCAAGGCTACATAAAGAAACCTTGTCTCAAAAAAAAAAAAAAAAAAAAAAAATATATATATATATATATATATATATATATATATATATATATATATGAGAGAGAGAGAGAGCGCGAGCAGCTTAAGTGTTTTGTTCAGATGATAAAGTATCTCAAGTTATTGAGGCAGTTACAAAGGGACTGTCAGATATTTCTCAGTTTTTCTTTGAACTATTTTAAGTTGGCATTGATGAAAGAGAAGTAGGAAATTTATCTAAAGTCAACCTTTTATATATTATTTGGAAAATATTCTTAGGAATTAGATCATTACACATTTTGTATTTGAAACTCAAAAATAAGACTATTCTAAAAATGTAATGAGGAAAAACCATCCTTTTATTAAGAAAAGATTAAATAGCAGTAAATATTAATTTGAAAAATCTGTTCACAGAGACTGTGTAATTGGTTGAATTGCTTTCCCACTCATTGTATAGTATTATTTTAAGGCTGCTTTTCTCTTTGATTATGTAGTTCTCTTTATACTTTCTAACATGTTTGCCTAAGTTCTTTACCTCCTTAACAATTGGAAGAGTCTATATTTTTCTTAAGCCAGAGAATCTTTCCATAGTGTGAATTAATACCCCAAACTGATAATTTCTGTAAATAAATTTAATTCATATTTACTTGTAGCTTCTTTTAGGTGTGGTAGGGTTTTTGTTTCTTTTTGTTTTGTGTGTGTGTGTGTTGTTTTGTTTTGTTTTGTCTTGGTAACTTTCTGTTTCAGTTTTCTATAAGCATAATATGGCGCTTGTATAAAGTCATGCCAGAAGGAACAGTAGAAGTAAGACTGGCTGAATTGGTGTTCTAGGTCATTCATAATTTTAGTAGAGTAGTTCTTATATCTCCTTACTTTTAACATTATAGTTGCTGTTCTTTTTCCTTAGATTACTGAAAAAAAATTAAAGGAAAGTGTAGGTTTTTTTGAATCAAGTTTACAGTGATATATGGTATGAGTCACAGTCAGTAAAAAGCTTCCAGTGCAAGAGCTGTTTAACAGGCACTTTTCTTTTTAGTTAACAAACATTAATTGTACCCACCACCTTTCTTAATTTGACCGTTATTATGTTTGTTTTGTCAGAAAATACATGTTTTTCAGTTCTAAATAATATTCAGTTCTAAATAATACGTCCACTTTTTTACTTTTAAAGGTAATGACAAAGTGGGGTGGAAATGATGCATTCGCTCGTTATTCTCCTTGAGGTTCTATTATAAAATAGAACAGCTTTCTGTCTCTTCACATTTCCATCTTTGCGTAGACAGGAGTTAGTGTGAGTTTACTGATGTAGCACTCTACTGTTATAAGTGAAAAGCTCAACCTACCTCTAGATGCATTAGCTTTATCAGTTGTGAATACAATATAGATTTTCTTCTACAAAGAGAAAGGTAATCACTCCTTCTTATGTGACAGACTTTTCCTGGAGAGACACAACACACATCTGTGTACTCTGATAGTGAGCCCATCATAGGACAAAGTACATGTACCATTGAAATTCCTATGGGTTTTGTTGGGTTACATACTGGGGTAGGTGAGGGGTTACTGTTGGCATTACTTTTTAAACTGTTTTATTTATGCTTCTTATATCTCTTTCTCCCTTCTTCACCCTAATCCCTCCTAACACCCCGATTCTTACTGCTATTTAATCTTTTCTTAATAAAAGGACGGTTTTTCCTCATTACATTTTTAGGACAGAAAAGAAGTTAGTGGGGAGAGGGGTTGAAGTTCTCTTAGGCTACTTCCTGCTGATTAAGGTTGTCAGATTTGTTGGGGAAAGTCCAGTCTTCATTTCAGGATATCTCCGACTTCAAACTGTATCAAAAGCAACCAGGAACACAAGCAGCCTTTTTCTTTCTCAGAGTTCCCACTTTCTCTCTGAGCCCTGGCATTATTCCCTGTCCAGAGTCTTCAGATATAAGTTATCTGCAGCTGGCAAAGAGCCCCTTCTCAAAGCATACATGAGGCAAATAGTTTGCTGCTGGACACACTCTGAATCAATTCCATATCCTACACCTGGGATCAAAACAAAACCATATTTACATCCACAACAGGTTACTCCCAGAAACAGAAATGACTCAAAAGACAGCTGCCTCACCAGAACACACCCCAAAGCTGGAACGTTGGTGCACACTGCACAGCCTGCAGGCAGCTCAACAGTTGGAGTGGCCTTTCTAGATGGCTAAGTTGGTCTGAACCTCTTCTGGAGAGTTCGGTTTCTCTCTTTTTCTTTTCAGGCTGCTTGGCTGGTTTCACAGTCTGCTTAGCTTGCCTTGTCTGAGAGTGATTCACTGTCATTTTTGCTGTTTACTCTTGGGAAGGGAGGGCTCTGATGAATCTGGTTGATCTCATATACTTCCTGAAGCTATTTTGAGGCATTTTACTTTCTGTCTTACACTTCCCTGCAAGCTGGGCTGTATGTTTCAATTTTGTTGGAAACTGCTACACAATAATTGTTAAACATTAGTGATGGAAATACAGTTAATAAGACAAGGGAATATTTTGGTTTTTGTTCCTTTGTTTTTATTGATTTATACCCCCCCCCCCCCCAGACTGCAGTAGTACATTGCCCAGTTTCTTTGTGCTGTCACATAGGTATTTAGATAAAACCTGTTTTTGTTTTTATTGTTTTTAAACTTGTAATTTAGCTGTCTAAGGTGGATAATATTTTTTAGAGTTAAGACTGTTGTTCTAGTTGTCATTGTGCTACTGTTATCCCTTTAACCCCCTTTAAAAATACATTTCAACTTGAATGGCAATGAAGTTTTTTTTTTTTTTTTTTTTTTTTTTTTTTTTTTT